CAGGTTCCCGCAGAGAGCTTTGAGAGCGCCACGGTGTACTTCAGTGATATCGTCGGCTTTGAAGAGCTCTGCGCCGACAGCTCTCCTCTGCAGGTGAGTCTATAGCTAGGGCTCGAAAATAGTCTATATCCGTTGCTTTTGTTGTGTTAATGATGATTTCGTGGGCTAGAAATAGTGTAAATTAATCAAGTTCATTGGATTACTCTCTTTTTTTCTTTCTTTTTTTTCTCATGCTTGCCTCACCCACACTCGCAATTATTCATCAATAATGAATCAGACATATTCACACGACCACCCCCCTCGTTCAGAATGAACTAATTCACTCTCTTTCCGTCACTTCCTTTGATTTTTTTTTCCTCACTCCATTTTCACTCTATATCCCGTCATTCAATTCCTATCCCACGCACGTTCCTATCTCTCTCTCTCTCTCTCTCTCTCTCTCTCTCTCTCTCTCTCTCTCTCTCTCTCTCTCTCTCTCTCTCTCTCTCTCTCTCTCTCTCTCTCTCTCTCACTCTCCCACTCCTTCACTCACTGTCTCATTCTCCTACTTCCTCATTCTCAAACTTCCTCATTCTTCCACGACGTCACCCTCTCTCTATCTCTCTCCCTCACGCCCGCAGATCGTCCAGCTCCTCAACATGCAGTACCGGGTGTTTGACTCAAGGCTCGAACAATACGATGTTTATAAAGTGGAGACGATCGGAGACGCTTACATGGTCGTCTCTGGTTTGCCCAAGAGGATAGGTAAGAGGATGGGGAAGGGCATGGGGAAGGGGAGGGGAAGGGCATGAGTAGGGGAGGAGGATAGGGAGGGGAGAAAGGGATGGGGATTGGGAGGGGAGAAAGGGATGGGAATTGGAAGGGGAAGAAAGAAAAGGGAAGGGGAAAGGGAAGGAAAAAGGTTAAGGGGTAAGGAAGAAGGAGAAGGGTAGGTAAGGAGGGGGGGGGGGGAGAAAAAGGGTAGTGGGAAGAAGTATGTAAGATAGGTAGGAGGAGGGCTGAAGGGGAAGAATGATAAGGTGAAAGGAGAGTAGGATGATAGGGGAAAGGGAAGGGAGGGGGGAGGGAAGAGGGGGGGTGAAGGGGGAATGGGAAGGAGTAGGAGTGAGATGAGGAGGGGAAGAGGATAAATAAAGGGAAACGAAAGAGGAGGGGAAAGAGGCAGAGAAGTGATGACTGATGGAAGGAGAGGGAAATGGATATGAAAATAGTGAGAGGCTGCGAGATAAAAGTGTCACTGAGATTGTCTATAACTGTTTATGGAGCTGTTAAAGGTAATGTTAACGAACGCAATGGTAACGATAATAAGAACAATGACAGTAAAGATAACGATAATAATGCTAATAACAATGTAACATAAAAACAACAATAACAATAACAAGAAAATTAACAATAATGTATCAATATTAATAACACCTCAAATAACTCAACAGCAACATCAATAACCAACCTACCTAGCAAGAGCCCCCCCCCCCCCCTTTGGAATGAAAGTCTACGTCATGCTGAATTCTCTTTCTTGCACAGGTCACAGGCATGCGGAGGAAATCGCGTGCATGGCCCTCGACTTACGCCATTCGGTGCAGAGCATTCCCATTCCACATAAACCAGGGCAGTGGCTGCAGGTGGATTTCATTTTAGTTTGTTCTCTCTCACTCTCGCTCGCTCGCTCGTTCTCACGATCTCTCTCTCTCTCTCTCTCTCTCTCTCTCTCTCTCTCTCTCTCTCTCTCTCTCCTCTCTCTTAATTTTTCTGTCTCTCTTTGCTTCCCGATTTCTCTCTATTCACGTTTTAACTTACCATTTTTATCTTAATTTTCTTTCCATTTTTTTTCTTTATTGTTGGTTTATTGAGTTATATATGTTATCCCTCTCCCCATTATTTCTATTTTACTAGATACTTGCAATGATATATTTTCTTGTTTAATTCTTCTTCTGTTTTTTTTTTTTGTTTTTTTTTTTTGCTTATTTTCCTTTTTACCCTTTTAAATTTCTGTTGTATCCTCATTGTTTTTTTCTTTTCTTTTCTATTTTATCACCCCCTTTTTTATTTACTTTTACTTCATCAAGACTTCTCTTAGCAATAGCCACTAGTATCAGTTCATTTTAATTCTAACGTTTCTTGTTACATCTAATCGTTACCCTTATCCATTAAATCATAAATCAAACATTTGATGTACAAACAATAGATTAATGAATAAACAATAGATAAGTTGAGAACACATCCCAATCGTGCATCTCTCCCCCCCCTCCCACTGTTATCAGATCAGAGCTGGCGTGAACACCGGCCCTGTCGTGGCGGGCGTCGTCGGAACGAAGATGCCGCGGTATTGTTTGTTTGGCGACACTGTCAACACGGCGTCTAGGATGGAGACCACTTGCGATCGTAAGAAATGAAGGAAGAGTAGATAGGTGTAGATGATGAACGTGAGAGATAGGTGAGGATGGAATGAAATATGAATTATTTGTAAATTTATGTTTTATTTTGTGTTTGTACAGTTTAGCAAATTTGCTGATTTTACGTCTCTCTCTCTCTCTCTCTCTCTCTCTCTCTCTCTCTCTCTCTCTCTCTCTCTCTCTCTCTCTCTCTCTCTCTCTCTCTCTCTCTCTCTCTCTCTCTCTCTCTCTCTCTCTCTCACTCTCCCACTCCTTCACTCACTGTCTCATTCTCCTACTTCCTCATTCTCAAACTTCCTCATTCTTCCACGACGTCACCCTCTCTCTATCTCTCTCCCTCACGCCCGCAGATCGTCCAGCTCCTCAACATGCAGTACCGGGTGTTTGACTCAAGGCTCGAACAATACGATGTTTATAAAGTGGAGACGATCGGAGACGCTTACATGGTCGTCTCTGGTTTGCCCAAGAGGATAGGTAAGAGGATGGGAAGGGCATGGGGAAGGGAGGGGAAGGGAGGGGAAGGGCATGAGTAGGGGAGGAGGATAGGGAGGGGAGAAAGGGATGGGGATTGGGAGGGGAGAAAGGGATGGGAATTGGAAGGGGAAGAAAGAAAAGGGAAGGGGAAAGGGAAGGAAAAAGGTTAAGGGGTAAGGAAGAAGGAGAAGGGTAGGTAAGGAAGGGGGGGGGGGGGAAAAAGGGTAGTGGGAAGAAGGTATGTAAGATAGGTAGGAGGAGGGGCGAAGGGGAAGAATGATAAGGTGAAAGGAGAGTAGGACGATAGGGGAAAGGGAAGGGAGGGGGAAGGGAAGAGGGGGGGTGAAGGGGGAATGGGAAGGAGTAGGAGTGGGATGAGGAGGGGAAGAGGATAATAAAGGGAAACGAAAGAGGAGGGGAAAGAGGCAGAGAAGTGATGACTGATGGAAGGAGAGGGAAATGGATATGAAAATGGTGAGAGGCTGCGAGATAAAAGTGTCACTGAGATTGTCTATAACTGTTTATGGAGCTGTTAAAGGTAATGTTAACGAACGCAATGGTAACGATAATAAGAACAATGACAGTAAAGATAACGATAATAATGCTAATAACAATGTAACATAAAAACAACAATTACAATAACAAGAAAATTAACAATAATGTATCAATATTAATAACACCTCAAATAACTCAACAGCAACATCAATAACCAACCTACCTAGCAAGAGCCCCCCCCCCCCCCTTTGGAATCAAAGTCTACGTCATGCTGAATTCTCTCTCATGCACAGGTCACAGGCATGCGGAGGAAATCGCGTGCATGGCCCTCGACTTACGCCATTCGGTGCAGAGCATTCCCATTCCACATAAACCAGGGCAGTGGCTGCAGGTGGATTTCATTTTAATTTGCTCTCTCTCTCTCTCTCTCTCTTAATTTTTCTGTCTCTCTTTGTTTCCCGATTTCTCTCTATTCACGTTTTAAATTACTATTTTTATCTTAATTTTCTTTCCATTTTTTCTTTATTGTTGGTTTATTGAGTTCTATATGTTATCCTTCTCCCCTTTATTTCTATTTTACTAAAATCTTGCAATGATATATTTTCTTGTTTAATTCTTCTTCTAGTTTTTTTTGTTTTGTTTTTTTTTGCTTATTTTCCTTTTTACCCTTTTACATTTCTGTTGTATCCTCATCCTCATTGTTTTTTTTTTTTGTTTTCTTTTCTATTTTATCACCCCCTTTTCTATTTACTTTTACTTCATCAAGACTTCTCTTAGCAATAGTCACTAATATCAGTTCATTTTAATTCTAACGTTTCTTGTTACATCTAATCGTTACCATTATCCATTAAATCATAAATCAAACATTTGATGTACAAACAATAGATTAATGAATAAACAATAGATAAGTTGAGAACACATCCCAATCGTGCATCTCTCCCCCCCCCTCCCCACTGTTATCAGATCCGAGCTGGCGTGAACACCGGCCCTGTCGTGGCGGGCGTCGTCGGAACGAAGATGCCGCGGTATTGTTTGTTTGGCGACACTGTCAACACGGCGTCTAGGATGGAGACCACTTGCGATCGTAAGAAATGAAGGAAGAGTAGATAGGTGTAGATGATGAACGTGAGAGAGAGGTGAGAATGGAATGAAATATGAATTATTTGTAAATTTATGTTTTATTTTGTGTTTGTACAATTTAGCAAATTTGCTGATTTTACGTCTCTCTCTCTCTCTCTCTCTCTCTCTCTCTCTCTCTCTCTCTCTCTCTCTCTCTCTCTCTCTCTCTCTTTCTCTCCTCAGCCATGAGGATCCAGATTTCGCTGAGCACCCGCATGGCTCTCTTCACCGCTGGCGGCTTCATCATGGAGTTCAGGGGATATGTTGATGTCAAGGTAAAAGCAGTTTTTATTATTAGTGTCACTGCAATTGTTATTATCATTATTATTACCATTATTATTGTAATCATTGTTATTATGACTGTTATTATTATCATCATCATTATTATGACTGGCATTATCCTTGTCAATTTTATTATTATTATTATTATTGTCATTATTGTTTTCTGTTGCTAGTGCTCCTGCTGGTGCTGCTTCAGTGATTTATTTCTGTTCTATTTTATCTTGTTTTGTCTTCCTTTTATTTTTTGTCCTCTTCCCCTCTTGCCCTTTATCTCTTCATCCTCTCTTTTCTTTCTCCTTGGTCTATATCACGTGACCCCCAGTCCTCTTGCCTTACTTATTTAGTGCTACTCTTTATCCTTCCTTTTCTTCGTGTCCCCCACCCCCCTTTTCATCATGTTTCTTCACCCTTCATTTCTTCATGTTTCTCGCTCCCCTCTCCTTTTCTTCCATCTGTTGGCTCTACTCCACCCCCTCCTTCCTCACTCACGCATATTCCCTCTTTTTCTCCTTTCTTATTCTCCTCTCTTATCTTTCTTCCCTCCCTCCCTCCCTTATATCACATTTCTTTCCTTTCTTCTTCATTCATTGACTACCCTTTTATTCTTCTCTCCCTTTTTCCCCATATTTCCTTATACTTTCTCTTTTCTATTATATCAACTAGCCTTTCTCCTTTCCTTATTTTCTCCCATTAAGATTTAGGACGAAATTCCGTCTCCCTTACTAAATCCTTCCTGCCTTTCGTCCCTCATATCCTCCTTTCCTTCATATTATCTCGCTTTTCTTCCTCACTCTCTGATTCCCCTCTCGCTTTCACCTATATTTTCCCCTCTCTCACTCCCTCCCTTCCTCCCACACTTCCCTCCTCTTATTTCCTCACTTCCTCATTCTTTTCCATCACTCACATGGCACCTTTACCCAAAATATATACCGAGGAGCCAAACAATGTAGCCTATATAGTAAATGATACAGCATATATAGTAATGCACACCACATAATCCATGCTAAATGTTATACCACTTACACAAAACAAAATAAAGCATATATAATACGTCATACATATCCTCACATGCTACGACATAAACCAAAGTAATATAGACCAAAGTTATATAATACCTCACCGCCCCCGCCCTCGCCCGTCCCGCCCCAGGGCAAGGGAGAGATGTCGACGTACTGGCTGGAGGGGCGTGACGGCCTTCAGTTGCAGGACGTGAACCTGGCGGGCACGAGCGCTGACGAGGACGGCATCTCCAACCCGGCCTTCATGCACATGGTCGACAACCTACACGATTCCCCCGAGCAGAAGCAGGTCGAGAAGGCTAAGAAGTAGTGGGAGGGGTAGGGGGGTGAAAGGGGGAAGGGTGGGGGGAGAAAGGGGGAGGGGTTAACCCCTTGGTGCCGGGTATGACGTGTACGTATGTGCTATGCCCACAGTGAGTACTTGTTTGACTGTTTTTACGCATAAATGGCAACACTTGTACTAAATCACCAATGAGCCAGTTACGAGCACCGCCCGTCTCGCCCGTTTAGCCGTTTCTTTGATTTACAAAATATTTTACGTAATCTTATTTTGCTGTTACTAATGTTAAAAAAATATATAAAAATTATAATGTTTATGATAAATATAATACCATCGATTTTCATAGCACTAGTGAAAAATACGTTTTTCCCGCCATTTAAATCACGAAAAACATAGAAAGTAAAGGGGGAGGACTTTGGGGCTCTTAACTGTGTGTTGTGACAAAGTGATCTGCTGTGTCTGGTGTAAACTGAGTGTCGTGTTACACCTGTTATATCTCAGGAGGATCTATAATGCTAGATGAGACAAATTGGCCTGTTTCGTCCGGTATGGCATAAGGTGACCTGTTCAGTCTGGTGTGATTTAGGATGAAGAGTTGCTTCCAGTGGGACTTTGGGTGCCTTGTTACCGGGGTGACTTTGGGTGACCTTTTGCATCTAGCGTGACTTGGTGCTCATAGTGGGACCTAGTGTGATCCAGAGTGCTGGTATGATACTTATATGATGGGATGTTTGTATGTGTGGGTGTGGGTGCGTGTTTGTATGTGTGTGTGTGTGTGTACGTGTGTGTGTGTGTATGTCTATGTATGTTTGTAAGTATAGGTACCTACAGGCACACGCACACGTCAACTAAGTTTCATTATATTTTCCCGTAATTTAATGTCTGCAATGCATTCATGTAACAAAACAAATACAAAACAACAAAAAACAACAACATGATAATGAAACAAGGAAAAACATTTTCAGAACTTTATTGATGAAAAGAGATATAACAGGTATAGTATAATTTCCATTTTCCACGACATAGTGTTCAATTGATGATTTTTCTCAAACCTGAATGTATTTTAAACCATTACTATTTTTCAACGATTAAGAAAGTTTGAAACGAAAACAGGGTATGAAATAAATGCATAGGTTTAATACCATCCGTCACCTTAACACTATGTCATGAATATGATGTATTTATAGTGTAGATTTATTAACAAGAAATATTTATATGCATTCGAGATAAATTATCTGTAATTAACAAAGTCATATATTTTAATCTCTCTGACTATCCCTTATTTCCTCTATCATTATTAATTTTCTTTTTTCTTTTCTTTCTTTCTTTTATATACACTATGAACCGTTCATTATTTCTAATCTACTATTTTAAGAGTATTAATCATTCTTTTGTGTCTATAATAACAGTTTATATCCAAATAGTGTTAACGTCAAAT